AGCAACATAGCAAACTAACCTGCTTCTGGCTTATGGACAAGCACTGGAACAGGCTCCCAGGGGAGTGGTTGAGTCACCATCCCTGTGGAGGTATTTAAAAGACGTGTAGATGTGGTGCTTAGGGAAATAGTTTGGTGGTGGACTTGGCAGTGTTAGGTTACCAGTGGGACTTGATGATTTTAAAAGTCTTTTCCAACCTAAATGATTCTATGATTCGATTCTGTGACGATGCTATGTGTTATTTTGTAGAATCACATGGATTTGGCTAAAGGTCATATAAAGGCCCTTCAGGAGGGAGATCTGACATCCTCTCGAGGCATTGAGGCCTGCACTAATGCCGCAGATGCCCTGCTGCAGTGTATGAATGTAGCTCTTCGTCCAGGTAATGTTTTTGTTAGACTACAGTCTAATATACAAAATTAGTTATGGTAGTGCCTTTACTCTATGTGCCTTTCCAACTAGTCTCAGGTTTTGTTTCTGTAGATTGGGGGAATTGTGACCTCTGGTCCTTTTGGTTGCCACATACAATATATTATTACTACATATTTTGTACTCTGAAGTTCTTTTTTGGTTTTAGGACATGATATGCTTCATGCAGTGAAGCAGCAACAGCAGCGGTTTAGTGACTTGCGTGAGCAATTTGCACGGAGACTTGCCAGTCATTTGAACAGCGTATTTGTTAAGCAGGTATTATTTCTTATTATTTTTATGAGACTTTCAGTCACAAACTTTTCTTTCAATCCACCTAAAATTGGACGTGTTCTGTGATGTAATCAGTAAATAAATAGACTGCTAGAGGCACTTTAGGCAGAGATAATGACTAAGCATACTGAACTGCAGTTGCCTGCAGAAGTCTCTTACATTTAAAAAAAACAACTTCTCTTTAATGGGCTTGCTATCTGAATTAAACACATCGTGTGATATATAAGGATTTATTTTAATTGTAAGGCTTGATTAATTGAGGAGAAAAAGCATTGACTTTTTTAAAGTGTGTCAGAGGCTGAGAACATTGGAGTTCTTGCTGAACTTCATGGGCCATAAAAAAAACCCAAACCCATACGGCATAAAATGTCTAAACCTTGATTTTTTTTTTTTTGAGCCTTAACTTGAAATATTCAGAAATCATTGTCCTGAGACTTCTTTCCTAAAGACTGGATGTCTTTTTGAGCATCACTTTTTTTTAATTTCTGTATTTTTTTATCTCCAATTAGTTTACTCAGACCCTCCTTCAACTCTATAACAGGCCCTACTGTCTTTCAGTTCCAGTGAGTACGTTGGGTTTCATACAAGCTTTTCTAACTAATGTTTTTGAGCTTGACTTACCTAACTGGTAGCTGCATCTTTGGCTTTACAAAAAGAAATTTATCCTTACCAATTGCAGAGCATCAGGCTTATGCCCCTTCTCACTTCTGTAATTTTTATCAGCCTTCAAGCTTTGTTTATTTGTTAATGAGCTAACATTCCTCTGATGTGATCTCCGGAAATTGCTAAGAGATAGATTGAGATGTATGGAGGAAAAATATTTTGTGAAAATTGTGATATGTGTACAACAGTACAGATAATGCAATTGTGTGAAATTGTGGTATTTATAAATAACAAATTCCATTTTTATACATATTAATGCAATTAGGTTTAGAAGTTTTCATTTTTATGTGTTGGACTGCATGCAGAAAATGGAATAGAGTTATGCTGGATAGTTGTATAGAAAATTGCACTTGAGAGTACAAGCCTGGCTTTTTATGGCAAAGATAAGTACTTCCTACACTTTATTCACTTTGCAGAAGAATTCCAGTTCTACGGCATGTTAAATTTTTTGCCTTTAGTCTCTGTTCTTAAGAGGGTATGTTTCTGCTGTTACTTCCCATATTTTGAAAAAGTGAGCACACAGTACTAGCTCTAAATGAGCAAGTAGGAGCTATGTTATGTAAGTCCTGTGTAAATACATTCACAAAGTTTGAATATTGGACTTGCGTATGAAAGTGGCTCTTTAATGGAACGTCTTTTCTGATGTTCTGTTCTGAGGATTCTATTATTAAAAATGGTAAGAGGTTATTATTACTATGTAAAACTACATGTATTAGATTAAATACTTCTAAAGAGACTTTTCAGTGCTATTGAGAATCCTATTACCAATTTGCTTGGGGTTTGTTTTGTTTGTTTGTTTTGTTTTAACTCTGGTACCAATAGTGGCCTCATGTTGTCTTTCATATAAATTTGCCCTCTAAAAAGCTTTGGCCTGCAGATAAAAAATACAACCTTGCTGTAAGGTTAAGTGGGAAGAATTCATTAACTGCAAGACATGAGCCTCTGCAAAGCCTTTTTGCTTGTTGCAAAAGAAAAGAAAGTTTGTGTACCTCTTGAGGTACAGATCCAAGTGTTGAAGGTATAACAGATTTTTGTGTTATCCTACTAAAATGACCTTGATTTGTTAGTCTGATGAATAGAAAATAGCAATTTCTCAGTCCCGTGTTTTGACAAGTCTTACTGGAATACTTTGTTACCTTTAACATCTAAAGAGTTGCATTATTTGTTTAGAGTGTTTCTTTTTTTAAAAAAAAAAAAGCACTTCAGAAAAAAACTAAGGCAGATGAAGATTTCTAAATTAAAATGGCAAATGAAACTGCAATGATGTCTAGGCAGCTGCTACTATAAGCAAGCCATATTCTGCTTTGGAACCCATTAGATGGAAAACTGAAGTTGCATTGACATTTTGGCCTAAATATATTATCTTAGAAGTATGAAATTGTTCTTTTTTTTTTTTTTTAAAGCAAACAAACCCAATGTTGTCATTCAGACTACTGCTGTAAGCTATTAAAGTGCTTCATCTCCTTTACATAAAAATGAGAGTAGATCTTAAAAGTTTTAAACAGAAATGCAACTTTGGATTGCTGTTCGCTGCAGTGTTAAAAACTTTGCAGTAACTGTTACTAACAGCTAATGTAATTGTCTTTACTGTGTCCTAATAATATCTGATTAACCTTATTGTTTGTCTGTAACTTTAAAGATTTTTTTTTTAACAACCAGGTTCAGCCTTCAATTAAAAGGCAACTCTGTGCTTTCTGCCTTTGAAATATGAAATAGTTTCAAGCTTTGAAACTAAGAAGTAGTTGAATAACAAACTTTCAGTATCATTTGGTAACAGTTAGTATAAATGTATGTGCAGTGAGAGGAAGCCTGGTAATTAGGTGGAGAAGGTACACCCAGAAGCACCATAATGTTTTGGAACAGACTTGAACAGGTCATAATTCAGGACAACCAGAATGATCAGTACTGTGGAAAAGTTGGCTTGGAGCGAGAAAATTATCTTGGGAGGGAATTTGTCATCTAGCTTTATGAAGAGTGCAACTACTAAGCTAAAATAAAAAGTTATGTGTAATAAAGGAATATGAATAAAATTGTTACATGAAAGAAGCAATAAAAATTTGGATAGCTGAATAGTTCCTAGCAGTAATATGAACTAGCCTCTGGGCTAGTGAAAGACACCAGGTAAATTACCTTGAACTATAATGAACTTGAAGATTATAATGTATGCTGTAGGAGTGTTGCACACGAGGGAATAGGAGAGAGAACCGTAAACGGTTCTGTATATCTAGTTTTTATAAGAGTATATCAAAGATCTGTTGAAGATATTTGCTATATATCCCAGACATACATGCAGTGTCGAGTACAACCTTGGTAATCACATCAGCAGCTGGCTGGCTAGTGCTGGCTGGATTCCACTTCTAAATTATGTGTTGCAATAACTACACTTTACAAAGTTAGCCTTTTGTTGGACTGGGACTAAAAGATTGCTTTTTAGAAGGGAGATTAACTGTGTGGCCCTTCCCCATTGTCTGTGAGAATAAATGAATGAAGCTGTCTAGGACTTGTTCCTTTGGGCCCATTTGTGTCTCAGTTTATGTAATTAAGAGAACAGGACTTTAAGTGTATGTTCATGTTGGATACAAAAAAGAATTCCAGCTTTATCTGGAAGTAGTGCCCCTCTACTCCGGTCTTGTGAGACCCCACCTGGAGTGCTGCGTCCAGCTCTGGGGGCCCCAGTACAGGAGAGACATGGAGCTGTTGGAGAGAGTCCAGAGGAGGGCCATGAAGCTGATCAGAGGGCTGGAGCACCTCTCCTCTGAGGACAGGCTGAGAGAGTTGGGATTGTTCAGCCTGAAGAAAAGAAGGCTCCAGGGAGATCTAATTGCGGCCTTCCAGTACCTGAAGGGGCCTACAGGAAAGCTGATGAGGGACTGTTTATCAGGGAATGTAGTGACAGGACAAGGGATAATGGGTTTAAACTAAAAGAGGGTCGATTTAGATTAGCTGTTAGAAAGAAATTCTTTACTGTGAGGGTGGTGAGGTACTGGAACAGGTTACCCGGAGGGGTTGTGGAGGCTCTATCCCTGGAAGTGTTTAAGACCAGGTTGGATGAGGCTTTGGGCAATGTGGTCTAGTGGAGGGTGTCCCTGCCCACATCAGGGGGGTTGGAACTAGATGGTCTTTGAGGTCCCTTCCAACCCAAACCATTCTATGATTCTATTTATTCAGAAGCTGGCATGTTCCCATTGTATTTCTTAGTAAAGGTTAGTCTTTTACAGATAGTATCAAGGCTCATATCTTCATTTACTTTTTTTCTTCTTAAAAAAAAAAAAAAAAAGTATGTGAATGTATTGTGGAAGTTTTTAGGGCTTTTTTAACCAAAGACTTGAACTGATTAGTACCTGATAAAATAGAAAAGGGTGAGCCAAAGTTGCTTTAGTTTTGACTGTGTGATCCAGACTGGCTTCTCTTCCAACGTGAAGAAATGCAAAGGCAGTTTTTAAACTGTATAGCTTATATTTTGCCAACTTGTCATATCCAAGACAGAACTGTCCAGGAA